AACACCCCTGCACCAATGAAGATTACGGAGTTAGGGTTGTTCTTCCTCGCTTCCACCACATCAAAGATGTAGGCGCACATGGCGTCGTCAACTTCTCGCCCCATACTCAGAACATTTACTTGCAGCCCAGGGTCGTAATGAGAATCGGGAGCATGCTGGGCGATGCAATCCTTGCCTGGAGCATACTCGTTCCACCAGTTCTCCTCATCGACTCCTATCAATGTCCATACCGTCACTGCCTTCGGAGCATCTTTGATAGTGATACGGTACTTCCACCGGCTGTAAGGATTCTTGTAAGCATGGACCAACCTTCCATCGTGGTCGAGGAATTGGATCACCAGACCCTCCTTGGGCTTGCTTTCGGCGAAATTGACCACGTGAGGCACAATTGCTCCATCATATCCTTGATATTCCCTTTTCTGTTCCGCCGCATCATGCCATACATCTTCGTACACCGACGACCATTGGTCATAACCAAATTGAGAGGCTTGACTTTTGGATTGGCCGTTAAAACAAAATCCCTGGTGCAATGTAAAGCCCTGGTACCCCCCATGGATGGCACGCGCCAGTGTGACAACCACCGCTCGCCATTTGGCGGGCAGGGCGCGCACATAAGACTGACCCAGAGGCGGTTCAGGAATAGGCAAAAACGGCGGCGCAAGGACGTCCGCGATGGCGGCAGGGCGCAAATGCCCCCGCACGGGATGGTACTGAAACACAGCACGCTCCACATAGCGGTCGAACTTGCCCGGTGTGTCAAGGATAGCAGCGCGATCCTCCATCTGGTGCCACTGCCCTTCACGAAGAATCCAAGTCGACCGAAGGTAACGACCAGGCGGCAACGCAGAAGGCGGCCCCCGCAACATGCGCGGGAACTTGACAACCAGGATGGGGTCCACACTGTAATGTTCTTGCAAGCCTTCCTTACTCGACAATCCAGCGCGATACAACACCTGAGGGAGGATCGGCGTCTGCGTGTAAGGAAAACAAGGCACCTCGCTCTTGAACGAGTAGTGCTGCTGACCCTTCTCATCCGTACTTTGGGAATGAGTAGGTCGCATCAGATCCATAATCTCCTGGGAGCCAATGAGATCCGGCGGAAAGATGTTGATGAGCTGAAACGCATGTGTCCAGGATACAGAATCCTTGAACGACTTGGTGTGTATGTCCGCGGACATCTTGGCAGTGACCTCGTAGGCAAGAGAAACGTAACCTTCCTGAAAGATAGAATGCATCCATCCAATGCAGATACCGTGGGTACGTTCCAAGTGACGCATAGTCGGATTCTTGCCCGTGCGAATCACCCCGATCATGGTCTGGTTGTCGTCGTAGAAGACGAAGTTGGGGTCTTGCCCCCCAAGCTGCTGCCACAACGGGATAGCAGGCAATCCAAGACGTGACATGGCAAAGTCGGCCGCGACAATCTCGGCCTCAGGTGTGGAATGACTCAAGCATCCCTGCCTTTTGCTAAGTCCCGCCAAGGGAAATCTTGTGTGAGAACCTTGAATGTGCAAATGAGCACCGGAGGTAGATTTCAAACTTTCTCCACAACCGGCATAGTCCGCATCTGCAAACAGCCCGATGGACGAGTCCTCCAAGGAGTTCCCGACCCAGCCAATCATCATGTGATGTTTGGACTGGTGCACATAGGCCATGAGATGATGAAGAAGAGCATCCTCCTTCTTGGTCCATTTCGTGATCTTGCGTGCGAGATTGTTGATACTTCGCAGAAGATCGAAGCGGCAAATGCGCGCGGCATAAAGCAATTTCATGAGAATGCTGGCTGCCTGCGGAGCAAGTGCGCCGCGATTGGCCTCGTTGATTTCCTCTTCCTCGGGCGACTTGGGAATAGGTGGAGGCGGAACGAGCCGACCATCCTTATCAACAGGCATGGTGTGTCCACACCACGTGCATCGATGGCTTTTACCTGACTGTGCCGGAGCGCGAGCTGGGTGATTCTTAGTCTCCTCAGCCGGACTCGGCGATGGTACCGTCTTGAATTTTGTCGGATCGAACCCAGTCACGTCGCAGTACTTATTGACTGTCATGTCCAGGTACGTCTCCATGTCGTAGGTAACGGTCTGCACCTTCGTTTTGTCATGCAACGTTGCCTCGCCCTTGGAGATGCGACAACCCAGATACGAGCCCAGCGGCGTTTCTTCTTCCAATCGAAGTTCTTGGCGCAGCATGTCCCAACCCTTGGGTAGATTCTCTTTGGGTCCTGCCATCTTGAGATCATCCACGTAGATGACAAGTAAGAGCTTCATTTGCGGGTGAAAATACAATGATGGCCATTCATCGCCAATCGGCTTGAATCCTACTTTCTGTACCGCGGTGTGGCAAGGTTGTTCCCACATGGTTCCTGCGTCAGGATGTCCATATAGAGCTTTGATCAGGCGGCATACCGGCCTACGGAATTTGTGCCGTTTCGCAGATGGATGCCAGGCTTCATCAGGCAGTTCAACCCAACACGGAGTGCCCGACAATCTAGCCTGGATGTATGCTTGGATAGCATCCGCCATCTGGACATCGTTGCCAGGAAGACATCCGTAATAATCTGCCCATCGTGAGGCGTCAAACGTAGCCGGGGAATTACCCAAATCCTGAAACAATGCGGCTTCCATATTCTGGTCTTTGACCTGATCACCGAGTAGTACACCTCGCCCCTTGAACTTCCTGGCAGGATCGTCCTCTTTGAGCTGATAGTTCTTCTCGTAGATCAGTCCGTGTACTCGCGCCATGTGTACTTTCTCACCTTTCTTCTTTGCCTCAGCGACGACGTCGTCATATTCACGCGTGGTTGAGAAGTCAAACACTTCTTGATCCCACAATCCCTTCCACTCCTTCATGAAAGCTTCCATGGCCTTGGGATTGTTGATCATCTCTTTGCGTGTGACGGGTCGAGTGACCATGGCATTGAAGCACGATCCTCCTGCATGATTCTTTTCCCGATGTACGTTTCTGTGAGAAGTCGTACACGGCATAGAAGGAATCCAGTTGTCATCCATGACCATATGCGCCGGAACAGCCGGCACAACATCAGCCAAGAATTGTTCTTGTGTATATTGATCCACATAGGACTGTGCCCATGACCAACCATCGTCGTCGTCAACGGTCACGTTGAGTTGCAGATCAATTTCTTCACACGGAACAATCTTGGGAAAGATCATGTTGTCCAAAGCCTTGGTGACTATCTTCTTTCCTATCACAGCCTTCTTCCGGTCTTTCTTGGCAACTCGAGCTTTGTCCCGCTTTTCTTTCTTGTATGCTGCCTTCTTCTCCGCTTCGCTCATTTTCTTCCACGCTTCCGGAGAGTAAGAATGGATAGGTCGCCGTGTAGGAAGAGTTCGTCGACCATCACTTCGAATCTTGTACGGAACTCCCCTTTTGTCGATCTTGC